AGTGGTGAAATTAGCATAGCTAAAACACGTCTAAGGTGAAAGAGCGGGTGGGCTGCTGTTCATGTATATTAATAATGCACACGCGTTTCGTGGCAGACTGTATCGGACTTGCTTCTTTTACCCATGATGGATTACGAGAAAAACAACGGAGGACGATACAACTCCTCTAGACCAAGGGAGGCTTTTCTCTGCCGGTCTGAACCAACCCATTCTCTATCTACTAGTTCACCCTTAAGCCGGGTTAGTTAGGTTGTTCTCTTTCTAAAAAAAAAAACATTTCTCGTCGTTTCGTTGGTATTAACATGGTTAAAGATCGATGTTGCGTTCTGTACAGCACAATTCTTTCATAGAATAGAAGTTCGCGGGGTCGTAAATCCCGCTTGAACTTTCTCGCGAAATTGGTCGATGGAATAACGCGAATCTCTCAAGGAGATACTTGAGTCTTACAAAGGAACATCTCGAAGTGATAATCACCGATTTTGATGAAACTTTGTTACGTAGTACCTAGTTCTGGGAAAAATACATCGGCAAACCTTGAAGGGGTGAAAATTGACCTGAAGGTTGAAATATTAGAGATAGAGAAATTAGTGTAAATTGACGAATTTTGTTTTTGACGAAATTGAAATTTTGAAATTGGCGAAAATTTCAACGAGAAATTTGCAAAATAACAGATAATAAATAATTTTCACCACAGACGTATGTTAACCCTATCTTTGAGGGCGATTTTCACCCCTTCGATGTAGACGATTGCTAATAATACATTTTTTTCTGTATTATCGTATACCAAAGTTTCATCAATATCGGTAATTATCACTTCGGTATGTTCCTTATTAGTGTTAACTCTCGTTTGAGCGTGACTGTGTGTCTGATGTGAATATATGTTGCTGGCTTAGTGAGTGTGTCAGATGAGGCTCCTTCTTGGGAACAAAATTTATTAACAATCGTCGATACCCGAAAACGGTACTTTTGATGATCAGCAAATTTCTCTACGCTTGTGTTGTCCGAGTGTGAAGTTAAAACTATTACAAACCCCTCGATACCTCGATGAAGCTAAATAACTGCAATGCTGGTGAAACGCCGAAATTCAACATTTTTCTAACCCGGAAGCCTCGAAACAATTCAAACGACCAAGTGAAAGCATCGAAAGTATTATTATAAACCATTTACTCGATCGTGGCTACTCTTTCAAGAGGATTTACAGCGTGTAAACGTGACTAATGTTTTTTTATTGTTAGAATTCGGACGCAACAATTAACGACATCGTAAAATGTCCAGTACACACGTATAAACACTGGTGTACAATCGATTTAACTCGTTTATTTGTTGGGAATAAAATTTTTCAACACGCGTTACACGTTCGGCGTACCTATTATCTGCAAATAAAAACGTATTTTTTATTCACACAATTTCCAATTGCTCGTGTAAATCGAGCGTTAGGTGCAACAAAGAACGACCGTAATATCGATTACCATGCAAATGCCGGAACAAGGAACATTAATATTCAATGTCTGTAATATAATAGTATAAGGGTTGCGATTCACTAATGTTTGCATTTTCCGGTGGAAATTTTGAGTATACGGCGTCCACGTTTTCGTAAACATCGTATGGTACCGAAAGAACCGGTAAAATTTAATACACGAACGGCGAAATCGGTCGCGTTGCAATAACGGGGACAATTAAATCTGTCGATCCCGATGAACCTAAAATAGCAGAAATAAATGTGCCCCGATGTCCACTTGAACTCAGTTATTCTCGGCGAACACGCGCTCGAGAAAATTGTCGAGCGCGCGGGGGAGGGCCAGCATTGGAAATTATTCCTCGATGCGTTCCATTTTTCCATTCGCAGGTTCTATTAAAAACGTTGATTCTACGCATTGATGTCAAGTTGTGCGCGCTCTCAGCGCGATTTCGCGCATCGAAAATTTCTTTCGGCCTGTTCCGGCGGACGGGGATCGAACGCGTAGCGAAGTAAAACAAATGGAACGATACCGATTCAGAGCACGATGCAACGAGTGA